ATTAACTATTCCTGGCGAGAACGAAAAATAATTATGTGAAAATTATTTTTCAAATCATTCGCATACCGCAAAACAAATGGATATGGAAAATCCGATCCTTGCTATACAAGCACTTGATTGTTGCTTCCAATGTTAATGGAAATGGCATGCTTGCTTTAAACATTCTGTGGGAAAGAGTATACTTCCTCCTTGTGCAGAGAGTTTTCAGGAGTTCATTCAAATCAATCACTTTGTCCGAAATATTATCATTTGAAAGAAAAATGAAGGGAATTTAGAACCCTTAAGTGTAATAACTAGCTTAATGAATGGTGATATCATGTTCGAGAGGCTACGAAAAGAATTTTCTATACCATTTGTCAATGACCTAGGGAAAAAAGAGAGAGAAGGTCCAGATGATTGGAGCCCATTGTACTAATTGGGCTTTTAACCAGCTTTTGTGAGATAGGACCACAAAGTTTTTTGGGCTGGTCCTTATTTGAAACAGGCCAGTTCATTTTTCTGAGAATTACGAGAGAAGCACACCACTGCATTGTTGAGGATACAAAAAAAATTACAAATAAATACTTACTGGGTTAATTGAATGGTATGTGTAATTAGAGGTGGCAAATGGGTGGGTTGGTCGGATTTGGTGATTTGGGAAGTTTTGTGACATAAAATTAGTTTAAGGTAAACGGGACACTATTCTATCAATTCAGGATTTTTTGTGACATGAAAATTAGTACTGCACCAAAAATCGCTAATCAATTGACACTTTAATGCACCAAAAATTCTTGTTGTTCCTTGAAAGAATCTAGAAAAAAATAATTTCAATGACCTTGTTAGTGCGTTATAGATCGAATTGATTATAGAACGTCCAAAGACAATTTAAATAAACAACTTATAATGTGAGCCCTCAACATTTGCAAAAGAAGCTCTTGTATATGCATGGGATTAGCCGCATCTATACTTTTTCCGATGACTATTCTCATATAAAGAATTCTTATCATCATTAGAATACAAAAAGAATAAAAAAAGCAAAAACTGCAACGTGTGTAGGGTGGTCATGGTTGTATTGCTACATTGAATAAGTTTGACCACTGAAACTCGCTCATTGAATTGCAAGTCCAACAAACACAATCGTGCATGATCTCGATGATCAAGAATGAAGATTGAGATAATTAGTATTGCCGAAGAATGAAGATTGAGGTAGTATATCTTGCAAAAGAAAGTTCTTAATCCATCGTTTACGTGACCGGTACGTGAAGTGGTGTAATCGATCAATCATAGTGTTCGCATGAGTATTCATCTCAATTTGCGGTGTGTTTGAATTTTGAAAATTCTCTCTCATGATTAGCTTGCTTTTCCATCCGTCAATGTTACGCGGTACATTTAAATTCACAAAATGCTTTCTTCTTGCAAGATGACAATGGATGTGAATATACGTATGGAATCGTCGCATCTCCTACTCATATCAACCTTGAGGCCCACTCGAGCACATGAGCACAACGGTTTGTGCGCATCCACACTAGAGGCGAGCATAGTTCTAGAGTAGAACCTGGAATCGGAGGACTGGATTGGTGGGAATCTGTCTGGTTCCGGATTCCAGGATGTGCAGGGTAGGTTCCAAGTTCAAAAATTGTGGAACCTGTTTCAACCGGTAGATTCCAGATTCTAGGTAGGTGGAACTTGGAACCTATAACAATTTTTTGTGTTTTTCTTGATCTATATCTTCGCATGATCGTATTATATTTCATGGCATCTGATGATGAGTGTATAATCTGGAGTCACTAGTCTAAGCTTCCATTTTTATGATTGAGATTTTTACTTTGTTAATGTTTCATATTCTTTGTGTATCAAAATATTAGTTGTGATCAGTGAATTGTAACAACAAGTAATAGTTATTAAATGTGATAATTCACTGCAATCGTTCAATTAATAATATATGTGGAATTTGGGTAGACCCTAAAACCAACCCTAGAATCTGTAACATGGTAAGTTTCAGATTTCACGTTATGCAAGGTATATTCTAAGTTCTAAGTGGAACCTATACGGAACCTGGAACCGCTCACTCCTAATCCACACGGTCGATCGACCCGAAAAGCAATGGACATCTGCCCTATTAGAAAGAGAAAAGTTGCACCGAAGCCTTTGACTTGATTTAGCAAGGCCCAAAACAATAATAAGCCTAACAAAAGTAGCCTCAAACTTGAAAAACAACGGGGTTCTAGGGCCCAAGAAAGAGCTCAAATGGGTACCACCCACCATTTCAATCCACATTAAATCTCAATTCTCAAGCCGGGCTCTAATCCTCCTAAGGAGTTTTGGTCTCTGTCGTTTTTCGTCGCACGGGTGGTCGAACTAATCCCACTGCCCAACCCTTTTTATCTCGTCCCATCACGACGACACGTGGCCTCTTGTGGCGCCCAACAAAGTAAAAAACCTCGGACTACTCAACAGGAATTCCACGGCTACCCGACGACACACGTAGCCCTAATTTTCATCTCACAAAAAATTTCAAATCGAAATTCCCGTGATGCACGGACCCGGAATTAATTTCCGACCCTTAAAACTTTTCCGAACCAGTATAACCCCCGGTCCAAATCCACCATTCCTTAGAATGCACGTGTGTCGCACTTGGATTTTCCATATCCGGTCCGTCATTAATTAACGGCGGATTCATCTTCGTGTGTCGACACGTTCACAATTTCCTGACCACCCATGGCGGATTTGGATCGAGAATACCAATTTGGGTTTTTCACGAGACAGAAATTAATCAAGGGTAACGATGTTGCCGACACCGGTTGAGGATTTTTTTTTTTTTTTTTTTTTAGAGCGAAACATTGTTTAAGTTAAATATGCGACGGAGCTACCAATGTTAAATTTTTAATAATATTAACCCTCAAACAGAAGGACGCATACGAACCTATGTTTTCCCCCCCCCAACACACATAACCAATTCGTCGGCAGTCCACCGCGACTGCAAGAATCTTAAATTGTGGGGGGGACGTCGTATGATGATGGTCCCTGACGCGAAATTCGTAACTCCCTTCCCCCCGGCACTGAATTGATCCTGGCTCTGTCCACACTGACTTTTTTGCCGGTGGATTTTCCTTTTTTCCTCTCTTTTTCACTTTCTTTTTCCCACCATATTATTGGCTCGAGAAAGTGCCGACAAATCTCGCACCAGCAATTCCTCTCTCTTTTGTCTTTTAGGGTTTTTGGATCCCCTCTTTATATTAAGGGATTAGATTTTTATCGTCTGAATTAATTTATGTCGAGGCCCGCACATTTTGCACACACACTGTGCGTAGATCCTGTGTAATCACATGGCAAAAAGATAGCGTGTTGTTCCTTTGATGTTTAAAAGCACCCCTCTTAGACATGACAACATTCACTTGTTAACTCGACGGTGAGTCAAATCCTTGTCCTCAAAAATCGATTGATCCTTTTTCGAAAAAGCGACGCTTTGGGATCGAAATGGCGCTGGATTCACGCGACACGCCCAAGAACGAGAACCGAGATTGAGCCCGATTTCCGTACAATCCTTCGGGAGACAACACTGTCGGGAAGAACTCGACGGGAGACTATCGAAAGCGATCTCAAATAGATTCCTCGATTTAGATCCGGTAGAGCACTCCCAACGAACGAGCTATCAGGGTTAGCATTACGGGTGCAGTCACTCCTATCAAATCTAAACTTATGGCATGCTAATGCCTGCCCAGTGCGGACAGCCGACTTCTTGGCTCGTCCATCCGACTTCTCCCTCTCGAAAATGTTTTCTTGCGCAACATCGTTCGCATCAAATACCATATGTAACCACGGTCCTATGCCACATTTTGCAAGAGTAACCTCATGAAAAGAAGAAGCAACCCTCTATAGCAGCATAATGACCGCCGCCCCATTGACTGGCAATCTCAATTATAAGAGATTAATACATAACTTAAAGTCGAAAACCACTTAATCCTCACATTAAGACAAAAGTGCGGGCAGTATCATCTGCCATAATCTGGCGACAAACAACACATAAATAGGACAAGAAACAATCGATGAGCACCGTGCGGAGGACTGCGGAGGCTTGGAAGAGTCCGCCAAGGTACCGATTCTATTTATTGCCACAAGAAGAAACAAAACTCAACCAAAACACAAATCTCTTTGGACATTTCACCCTTGGTATTTACTAATTATTTGTTTAAGAATGTCTTTCCTTTCCCCTCACGCTCACCAATGACCTTAAAATATGAGAGGGACACGGTAACCCAAGAGAGAAAAGGTTAATCATGCTGTGACAGACAGGTAGTCTCTCACCTAACATCTTTTTTTTTTTCCAGTTAATTTGGGACTGATGTTTGTCGCACTACATGAGATATGCATAGGAATTGCCAATTCTTGACTTGGGAAACTGCAAAACAATGCTAGTCAAAGCTCCACATTGGATCTCTCGTATGCCCAAGGAAACTCGTTCAACCTGGTGCTGAAGTGCAAGCAGACTACATGCACCGGCGTCAACAAGACAAGGGTGGTGGATTTGACAAGAAGATGGGGAATCTCAGGAAACACCAAAAGGAACTGAGGATACCAACTTGCGCCCTCATCATGATCACTCATCATCAAGCACTCACTCACTGTAGTACAAGACGCAGAGCCTCTGCCTCTCTCTCCATCTCCATCTCTCTCTCTCTCTCTCTCTCTCTCTCTCTGGCTACCGGGTGCCCACAGCTCAGGATCAGGAACAGTGAACCGGGAAAAATACCTAATCAAGATCTTATCACTTTAGTAGTTATATAACTTTAGTTGGTTCACTTGGCCATTTGCACCAACTGCTCGCCTTGTAGGCCATCGCTGTTCCCTCCCCCTCTCTCCCCCTCTCTCTCTCTCTCCGAGAAAATGAAATTGCATTATCCATTTCCATAGAACCAATTCAAAAGAAGCTCCCAACAAACAAGACAAGGAGAGTGATTCTTTCTTGCTTGTTTTCTTGGTTCTTTTGGTTTGAAGAGATTGAGCCGAGGAAAGGGGCAAGATTTATATGAAGCAAAGGGGGGGAAAGTTTTCTTTTTGATAATAATTCAATTTAATTAGCTATTGGCCCTTTTTGTACAGCATCAAAATTTCTTGATCCAAACCCAAAAATCCGAAAGGGGAAAGGAAAGAGAAACAAATCAAAAACTAAACAAAAAGGACAGTAAAGACTAACCCCCACTTAGACCTCATCATTTCTTCAGCCACCACCGCCACCACCGCCACCACCAACACCCCCTCCTTCAAACACCGCCAGAGGGAGAGAGAGAGACACACACACAGGAAGAGATCAGGACCACTTTTTTGTTTCCCAATTTCCACCCCTAAACTTTCTCGAATTCACCATCTGAGTCCTCAGGCTCAGGCACCTTGTTCAAATCCACCACCCTCTGCAAGAACCCGCCACAGCCCTTGTACTCTTCACCCAGACCGGACCCGCCATTCTTGAGCACCGATCCGTGGCCGCTATTGTTGAGCGCCGCGTCGACGCTCGCGCCGACCTCGGTCGCCTTCTTCCTTATGAAGGCAGCCGTCATGTCGCCGCAGCCGCCGCCGCCCCCCTCCTCCGCCGCCAGGAACTCCGGGAAGTTGAGCCGAGCCGAGGGACCGCGGAGGTAGAACACCGCCGTGTCGTAGGCCCTGGCGGCGGCGACGGGCGTCGAGTAGGACCCGAGCCAAATCCTCGACCTCTTGTTGGGCTCCCGAATCTCGGCCACCCACTTGCCCCATTTCCTCATTCTTATCCCCTTGTACGGCCTCTCTCTGCCGTTCAACCCCCTCTTCTTCGCCGCCGGGCTCTCTTCACCGGCGACCCCAGAAACCGCTTCATCCTCCACCATCATCGAGACCACCAAGAAAAAGAAGGGTGGGGTGGGGACAATAAATTTCTTTCTCTCTCTCTCTCTCTCTGGAGGTGAGAACAGAGGAAGTGATGGAGTTCGAATCAGAGAGGTTCTTGGTCCGATGGAGGGTTCATCTAATCTGGGTAAAAAAGTTCAGGGAGGGGGGGAAAGGCGTCACCTTTTGCGAGCTCCATCGTTGAATTCCATGGGAGAGGAAGAAAGAGAGAGAGAGAGAGGACGGGAGAGAGAGGAGGGACAAATCCAAATTCACCGACAAATCTATCAAGAGGAGACGGGTTGGTGTTAATTACCTCAATTATGGTGGCTACTGGGGTGTGATGATGATGATGGTGGAGGTGGAGGTGGAGGTGGAGGTGGGGGAAGAGAATTTCAGGCCTTGCATCTAAGGGTCTCTTGTTTGGGGGTCTGTTTGGCAAGTGAGAAAAACAATGTCTTAACCATTACACACACACACACATAGATATATATATAAATATATATTTAATAAAAAAAATAAAAAAAAAAGTGATGGCGATGGTGGTGGTGTTGGTGGTGCTTGGGCAAAGTGAAGTGGGGAATTCAAATGCTGATAAAGAAAATGTCACTTGGAATGCTGTAGCCAGATTTATAGCTTGTTTAATTAATGGTGGGGTTAACTTAATTAATTCCTCTCTCTCTCTCTCTCTTTTAATTTATACCTTTGACGGTCACTTGCTAATGAGCATTGAACAAACTTGTGATGGGTATTTTTAAATTTTCAAAACCCATCTCATAAAATACTCAATTTGGCATCCTAAGTACAAAAACCTCTTTTACCATAGCTCTTTATTGAAAAATGTGCTTTTTTAATGAATTATCTACGAATGCTTAACGAGCTAATTAAACATTCCAAGATAGATATTTTCGGAGCACAACTAGTTTCCCTCGTAAAAAAGGTAAGCGGTAAAATACTCGAGACTTAAACTTCTTATGCCACCGATAGGCATGCGACCCTGTTGATTAAGTGATTGGGGGTAGAGATGCTAATATCACAGATGCGGGGTTCAACTCCCACACTTTGCAGGAATCTGAACAAAAGTCAGAAAGTGAGGATTTCGAGCGACATTTTTCGGACCCATTTCGAAAGGAAATGAAATCAAATCTTGTCGGACCAATAAAGGAAAGAAAGGTAATGTTAATTACTCGTTATACAAAGAATGAAGCTCACTATAAGGTTTAATTGTTATTTTTTTGGCTTAATACTTATCCCAATATAATAATTATCAAATTGAAGAAAATGATCTGTGTATGATTTGGAAAGGGTTGCAAAGGGGTAGGTCGGTAGTCAGTGGATGGATACCATTAGGTTCCCACCACGCTACAACTATACTACGTGCAGTTGGACCTTATTGCCCTCGGAGCGATGCCCGTCCCCGGCCACCGCACGAGGGGCGAATTCGGAATTTCATGGTCGCGGCGCTCCTCAATCCAGAGAGGGAAAAGGGCATGTTTCGGGGCAGCCTACCAGTTTGGACAAAAACATAGGATCCAACGAGTTTTGTGTGCTGTTCCTCTTTCGTGTCTGGTACAACATTCGATCTTCTTCTTCTTTTGTAATTTGTTTTTCCAAAATGTCGATAGTATGAATCAGAGTGAGGGAAAATGAGGCAGATGTGTTCACAACTGCGAAAGCCAGTGGAAGATGACGTTTTTCCCAAATGAGAATGGAAAGAAAAAGGGAGAAAATATCATGGAGGAAAAGAAAGGGGAAAAAGCAGAGATAGAGAATTTATTAGGATGGTTTTGAAATTCATTTTTTATTTGCAAAAAATATAGCTGTGGAATTGTATGCGAACTTTTTTCTTTTTCAAATTATTATTAGATCCGCTGACAATGTAGAAACATACTTCTATCATTGAAAGAGCGGCAACAATTCATTTGTGTGTGATGAAATAATTAAATATTAAACTGCGCTTTCATCTAATAGCTTGGCGATATTCCCACAAAATATCAGATGGTATTAGAGCAAGAAGTCCTCAATTCAAATCTTTCCATGCCCCTTTGCCTCCCTAATTAAATATGTCAACACTTAGTACTAGGCAAATGGACCAGATTAAGCTCGATGAGTAGTGATAGAATAATTAAATATTAACTCGCGTCTTCATCTAACAGCTTAAGCTTTTAAAACAGTTGACAGTAGTCCCACAAAATCTCGGTGTGTGTAAATTATTTTCTATGTCGATAGAAGACTTAATAAAGATCTTGCTTTCTACTAGCCGAATCGATCAATGTAAACTTAGTTGCCTAACTTATCATAGAAATTATATTAGTTATAGTCGAGTAGCACACATAAAGGAACGGCATATTACTGTGTTTTGCTAGTGTATCTTTGCTCCTATCAATTTAGGCATGTCATATCTTCTATATATTAAGTCAAATCCCAAATGTCTCACTTTTTTTCCTGATTTGCCTCATGTACTTCTTACTTTGATTGTAAAACAATTTAGCTTAAAGGAGAAGCAAAAGGTAAAATTGGCCAAAATAAAGGAGACGAAAAGATAAAAGTTAGATACTAACCGCGCACTTTCCGCTAAGAAAGTGCATTTGATGAACTTCCATAATTGTCCCTACCGTAAATAGTCAACAACAATCGAGGGACAAGAATAAACAAATTAAAAGTTTAGGGACTTGTAATGACTTTATCCATTGTTAAATCAAACAAAAGAACGACATTGGACATTTATGAGTAGTTTAGATCAATTAAACTGATTGAAAGTTAAAAAATGACATTTGACCAGTAATGTCATTTTCCCTAATCAACTTCATCCTAACATCCCATGTGAGGAAACTTAGAATGCTTCGTTCATATATTTTTATTTTGAAAATGGAACAAATGTTTAATTTCAATTATGGAAAGAATAGCAATACATGTTATATAAAGAATGAAAAATGATCAATGCCATAACCATCTTTTTCCTTGCATCTTAAAAACTTAGAATTACTTTTCTACTTTTTAAATTAATGAAATATGAGCGAATTTTTATTTCCAACCATTGACAAAAGCAGCAATGAGTTTATATGAGTAAAGAATAAAAACCGATTGTAGCAACATAAGACGAAGCCAATAACACATAAAAGAAAATGGGAAAGAAATTGGTGGGAATGATTAAAGTGTGACCATGGCATGCTCTTTCCGTTGATGAGTCAAATTGTTTTCTATTTCTCATGCTTTTTAACCTTGAAACTCCCGATGGTGTCATGTGAGAATCTTCCCAAAATCTATCTACTTTCTCTTCAGCTTTTCTTGTCTTGCTCGAACTTTACCTTTATTGCTTTCTAGCCATAAAAATATTATCGATAAACATATTATACATCTCTAGATTTTACTTTATACGGTAGTCATGATCGAGTCTCCAAATTATAAAATCTTTCTTATTCATATGGTAGTTTCATAAAAAAAAGGAAAAAAAATATGTTGGCATAAAGTTAAGGTCGATTGGAACAACCGACACAACCCTTGTCGAGCATTTGGATTAAGGGGCAAAAGTTGCCACCACACATCCACCCCTGCTCTGATTTGAGGTGAGGTTCGCATGGTATTAGTTTGATCGATATTATTTCACATTTGAACACCAAATGAGTACGGAGCAATTCACAAATGAATAAATATAAATGATCTTTAGACAAAAGCTAAAATATATAAAACGAATATGAGTTTATGCCTTGATGTCACTTTCGTACATCTACTTTTCAAAATAATGTTTGCATCCTCAATTTAGCAAAATTTTCCATCTTTTTAAAATTTTGCTATTTCCCATTTTAAAAAAAACCTCATCCTTCCCTCACCCACACCCACATCACTCTCTCTTTCTCGCTCCAGCGACTCGGGCGGGGGTGGCGGTGACGGGGGAGGATGGTGGCAGATGAGGGCGACGGTGTTTTGGGGCTAGATAGTCTTTTCGTTTTCTTTTCACAAGAGAGTATGATAATCATTTCAGTAGGAGTAAAGTATGGATATATATATATATATATATATATCTTATTTGTAAATCTAAAGGTATGATATCCACTCGTTTCGGGACGGTAATATGTGCACCGACTCGCCAAGCATGCATTTTCAAAAATAGCGGTACGGTGTTTTTGGAATTTTTTCACAAAAATATCACATGTTCTAATGATGAGATTTTCTTAGTAATGTAAGACAAAGAGATACGCATTTTTGCTCGGATAGGCTTGTTTCGATTCCCACCAGGAGAGCTTCGAATCGTTGAGCTCTTAATGAAGAACAAACAAGCCAGTGAGGCAAAACCCTAGTAGCCTAACGATGAGCTTTGTTAAAATGGGCAAATAACCCAAACATATAGTACGTTCAGTTCTTCTACAACTTTAAGAAAATGTCACAAATTATTTCAAAGGTCAAATGTAAAAAAAAAAAACAAAAGCACAGTCTTTTACCACAACGACTAATTTAATACGAGCTTTCAAATGTATTAAAAAAAGTACAACGTTTTAGTACCATGACAAATTCAGCACGACCTTTCGACTTACTAAAAACTTGTATCATATTTGGCTCGCTGGTAAAAATAGCTTCCGTTAGTATTTTGTTCATAATTGGAAAGTCAAAATCTTTATCTAAAAGGTTCTATTCTTGAAAAAAAAAATTGGGTACTAGTCTTAGGGGGAGAAATTTTTTAAAAACTTGTAAAGAGAAAATCATGTGATTTCAATATTGAAAAGATACAATGAATTTGATATTAAGATGAAAGTTGGGAGAGTTGAGAATGTGTTAGTACTAGCCAATACTAGTTGTCAATGCAGTAAAAAGTCAGGTGCGCCGACACGTGGACAAATAGCAATGAGAATAGACGAAATAATCGGGAATGCTATTTTTGTCACAGTGATACAAAGCTGTGCATTTTTTTCGGTGCATTTGAAAGTTCGTGTTTAATTTGTCTTTTTTTTTTTTTGGTCGATTCGTGTTTGATTTGTCACAGCAATAAAAATGCCGTGCTTTTTTGATACGTTTGAAAGGTCATATTAAATATATCATAGCGATGAAAAGTTATGCTCTTTTTGATATTTCCCATGCTTCCACGTATTCATTCCCAAATATGCCATTTGACGGCGGTTCAAGTTTTCTTGAAATTTTTTGCTTTCCAATTCTGTTTGGGTATCTAGTTAAGACCTGTTTGCGACCCATTTAGACTTTCCAACCAATTCATACCATAAAAGTCAAGAAATGAAATTACAATTAGTAAACCTAATCAGTGATTATAGTTTGAAAATTCACATCTGACAAAAGGAGTCTACCTCTTTTTGGGCAGCCTCTCGAGTACTATGCCTACTTTTCGTGCCATAGCATGGACTTTTAGCATGCATATCTGTCTATGATGAAATTTTTCCAGTTGATGCATGCATTAATTAAACTTTAGAGAGAGACATAAATCATAGTA